GTGTTTCAGCCGGCATCTGGGGCAGGGGTGAGTCTTCGGGCTTGGATTCCCCTGTAGTATCCGAGTTGGCTTTAGTGGCTCCGGTCTCCAGTTGAGCCTCATCTCTGGGGTGCTTCCCAGGCGAGCTGTCCCAGCTGCCTTCCCCTACCAGCAGGTCCCCACGGCCGCTCAGCTCTGCAAAGATAAAAGGAGCCGGTTAAACCCCTGCCTGCCGTGCGCCCCCCTCCAGAGGGGCTCCTCTGCCCCCTCGCAGCTGCTCCAGGGTCAGATTTTACTGGGGACACACAGCGTCGGGAGGGTCCCCTGTAAACCGTGAGCTCCTGATACAGCAGCCACACGTGGCCGACGCTCACAAACTGTCGCTGCGATGCATAAACGCGAGGAGCCAAAGCGCCGGGAGAGCAAAATCCCTGCGCACAGGGAGGGAGGGAAGGGGAGGCACAGCAGAGACCCCCAAAGAGCAGTGAGCCCGCAGGAAAGGGCCTGCCGGGAGTGGGGCACGGGCACTGGATCCGCTCTGCTCAGCACCACGCCTGCCCGCAGCTTCCGTCCTGCCCACCGGAACTCGGCCACGCGCTGCCTGCACCTCTGCCCGCAGAGATCCTGCCCGTGCACTTACACCAGGCTCCCTATGCTGCTGCCAAGAGTTTCTTAATCACAAATCCTGATCCATGACTTAATCACTATTACTCCAATCCCTTCCCCTAAATCCTTTTACTGTTTAATCTTTTCTTTGCTGTCAGGGGATGGGGAAGCTCCTTACCTACCAAGGCATCCTGAAAGCTACACCCACCAAGCACCCAGGGCCAGGACATTGGCACAGGCATGCGAACGCACTCAGTGTCACCTCAACTCATCCGCACCTCTTCTCCTGCATCACAACCAGGGACGATTGCACAGACTCCCAGGATAATGCAGAGCAGGACGCTGGGGCACCTGGGACCTGCAGCTCTCACTGGCATCTTTCTGGGGACACGCAGCCCAGCCAGGTCCTCCAAGGACAGGACAAAAACCAGTGCTTGACTGAGGACCGAAATGATCTGGAAACCTGGCTGGGAGCAGCAGCATGGGTGATGCAGGGCTTGTGCCAGGGAAACCTTATTGTGCACCCTGGCACTGAGGTGACGGCCGCAGAGGGGAGTCATGTCAATCATGCCCTCATTTCACAGGGAGGAGGTTTGGCTGGGGGATGCCAACGACCAGCTCCCACAGACCCACACGCACCGGCAGCCCGGAGCATGTCTCCCTGGAAAGGCTGTTTCTGCCACGGGGCGTTTGCAACCCGCTCACGTTTGGTGGTGAGCGAGGGAGCCACAGGCAAAGTGAATCGGGCAAATATCTGGTCCCTGGGCTAACCCAGGACACGGAGCCAGCAACCCTGACTCAGCTGATGGCTCGTGGTTTGCGTAATTGATCTCCAGGATGCTAAAAGCCATGGAAACGAATCATGAGGGGCTGCATGCTCCCTGAGACTGCAAAAAAGCTCCCTCCAACTAGACATTGCCTCGCTGCCCCAGAAACTGCACCAGTAAACACAAATCCAGTGGATACGTACTTGGAGTGCAGCCACAAAACACTCAGAGGCAGTGTCTGCCAGGCCCTTCCATCGTTAGGAACCAGGAAAACCTCCTTAACAGTCCCCAAAGAAAACTTTATTACACTCGCTGTGTTGCTCAGATGTTTTAAACCTCACTGAGACAGCCCTGAGTAGAAGAACAGACTTCAAAGTCAGGGCAAAAGGCACCTTTTAAATGCATTTTACATTCCCACTGGAAGGTTTCGCCGCCGCCGTTCTCACGGACATGAGCCCATCCTGGTTTCTAACCCGAGCCATGAGTAATCACTTCTTGAATAACAAGCACTCGGCACGCAAACCACCTCTCCTCGCCGCGGGGGTCTGCAGGGCGGGGAGAGGAGAAGGGATGGCGCACGTGACCGTCCCTCGGAACAGCTGCTTCTGCACAAAAATTAGAAGAACCACCCACCACCCAGGTCTTCCAATTTTGTGATTCACTCCTGTTCCGCACGCCCAGCCCGCGGCACAGCCCGCTCAGCCGCTCCGGGCGCTGGGGCGCAGCGGGAGGCGCGGGCAGAGGGCAGCGCGGGGGCTCGCCTGCGGCTTCGGCGACCTGCTGAAGCAGGACCGTCCCTGCCGCGAGCTCGGTGGGATTTTCGCCCTTCTCTGGAGAGGCCCTGGGTGCCAGATGGGTATTAATCACTCGTGTGAGTTAAGTGCCACGCTCAGCGCCGCATCTCAGCGGCAGCCCAAGGGGACCGAGGGGATGGAAGGAAGGAGAGCCGGAGGAGCCTGCCCACCGCCGCCGCAGGAGCCCCATCGCTGCCCTCTCCCATTGCATCCCAGTTTTCAGTCCTGCCTGGGCCGAGCTGTTCCCCTCCCGGGGAGCACAGCCCCAGGGTTGAGGGCACCCCAGGACAGGCTCGCATTGGCACCCAGATTGCTCCATACAGAGGACAAAGGCAGGCAAAGCCACCAGGTCAAATAATTCTCCGGAGAGCGCTGCCAGGATGAAGACTTCACTGCCAGGATGAAGACTGCGA